ACTTGACAAATATCCTGACATATGTCTTCACACATGCAGCATAGTGTATTGCCATGTTTTTTCATAGAGCTAGTTTTCATTGCTTTTACTCAGTCAGTAAATAGAAATCAATGAGGGATCCTCTCAGACGAAAAGTAACGCAAATGAAGTCCACATCATACAAGGGATGCTATGGCCAAGAAAGGGGCATTTGAGTGAAAATGTGACAAAAGGGTGGGGTTAAGGCAATGTCCACTTCCTTTGTCAAGCTAATAAAGGGTGATGCTTGCCTTAAACCCCACCCTTTGTTAAGATTGCCAAGTTTAGGAAAAAATACATAAGACAAAATAGTCCCCACTTTGTGTAATGTCTTAAAGAGAACTAAATCGGGAATGAAGAAAATAAGAACAGATTCTGAAAGAGCAGTGGAAACAATATGAAACCGGTAGGTTTGGGGTGACAAAGTCACTAAGCGTCTGAGAGATGGGAGACAAATTTCCTGCAAGCTCTATTACATGTGAAGCACCCGTTGTTAGATTATTTGGAATATCTCTTTAATATTTTTTATTTTCACCAACTGGATTCTGTTCGAATAGAAATTCTGGGTCAAAGTTCTAAACCTGGAGCAGGTCACACGAACATTCCAATAGTTTCCATGGCGATCGCCATCATAGAAGATAGAATAGGCATGACCAAAGCATTCTATAGCCCAGTGCCTCTCATTGCACTGTAAAAACTTAGATAATAGTTTTAGTAGTTATAGTAAAAGATAGTGAATCTTGCTGCTATAATGTCTCAAATGGTGGGTGTTGATGCAGTAGTCCATTTTCTTGCTTGGAACCGTACATCTCATAGGCATACCCCAGTTAAAAAGTCAAACCGTTCAAAAACGGATTTACTCCTTACAGTGGAGGGTACCAGGCACCATATCCAATACAGTGAGCTGTAGCACTTATGGTGCTTGGAGTGTTACTTTAAGGTAAGATGTTGTCCAGTGGCCCAAGCCCCAAACACCACTTCATTGATATGAAGTTATGAGGGTGGGATGTTCTGTTAAAATTATCTGAAGTAGTTATAGTGCATTGATTTTGTTGATTTAAGTAAAAATATATATATAAGATTTTTTTTGTAATTATTATAATGATTTAAAAGCTCATTCGTTTTTTGTTAATGCAATTTCTTTTTTTTTTTAATTCCTTAAAAAGGAACATGCGTTAAGACTGTGGACAGTTCAGAAAGAGAAAACAGATTGCAAAAAGGTGAATATTGTATTCATTTTGTCTGCATTATTATGTTGCCATAAACACTTCTGTTTTTATTTTATTGTTATAAGTAAATATTTACAGGACTGATTTTGTGGCTGTTGTTCATCCTTTAGGCCTTGCACATATCCCAGAATCCTTCACACATATCCCAGCATCCGTCACACATAGCCCTGTATAAGACTTTACAAATATCCTGACATGTCTGTTCACATTTGCAACATAGTGTGGCTCCAAGTTATAGACCTGTTTTCTCATGGATGGAGTCCTGTTTTGTCTTTGCTTTTGCCCAGTCAGTAAATATATTTAATAAAGAAAATGTGGACTTTATTTGCTTTGGTGTGTATTTATATACATCGTACCAGGGATTGTACGGCAAGAGGGAGACATTTGAGTGATGGTTCTTTTTAAAAAAAAAAATATATATTTTTTTTACAATTCTCTGCTGTGTTAACCAACTAAGTGATGGGAGACATTAACTGCATGCTCTATTGCATGTGAAGGGAGCACTCATTATTAGATTATTTGCAATGTCTTTTTAATAGGTTATTTTTTTGGAAGTTCTGTATGAATAGAAATTCCGAGTCAAAGTTCTAAACCTGGAGTAGGTCACAAAAACATTCCATTTGTTTCTATTTTTTACTGCTCCATTCATAGAACATTAATCATAACTAATCTATGTACATAACCAGCATAGTGTGTTGACTTTGATACTCGTTATCATTGTGTTTCCTATAAATTAATAATAATGCGGATATGTTCACGACCCTACAATACAAGGGGCGATATTGACAGATAGGTACCCTCTATCATCACGATTACCCGACTTACATCACTCGTTATAACATTGAGACCAATTGTATCTATAAAATGTTTGTGAAACGATCCTAGACATTTATTTACATGATATTCACTGTTTTGATGTGTAAAGACTATTGTGGCCTTACACATATGTTTGCCATTTTCACGGACGAAAAATAAAGATTAAAAAAAAAAAAATAATGCGGATATGTGAGGCTGCAACGCTGGATTTCTGTTGGAAAGCAGTGATAGATCTTTTTGTTTTTGCTAACAGCTGTGATGTTAAACAGTGCATAACTATGGGATAAAATTTGTACAAATTTAATATATTCTTTTTCTCTGTTTTTTTTTCTCTTCTTCCCAGAAGTCGTTAATGAAAAAATAGAAACGATATTAATAAGTGAGGAAGGTGAATGCGATTCTGATGAAGAGGACATTCAGGTGGTGGAGATTGATCCAGACAACTGTGCAGGTGTGATGCTATGTAATATAATGGATCAGGAGGATTTACTGTGATATCTGTGAATACAATATGTCACCGTATTTATCATGATAAATGGGTGCAGACCTGGGGTGTTGTGCTACGTTAAGCAATAATCTGAAACGTATCGTTCAATTCTGTCGTTGCTCTATGTTTCTGACTTCTTCCATTTTTATATGTAAAAATATGGTTTCTTATATCAAGGGCCTTGGGCCGAAATCCATCATTATGAAAATCATATCCTTAAAGCAGACCTGTCACTTGGCATTTTTAAATAAATATGCATCCTGTAAAACACTCTAAAATGTTTCATTTAACAGTTATTGCAATTCTAACAAAAATAGGCCAAAAATTACTAGCTCTCTAGTCAATAAGCCAATGTATATTTTTGAATAACAGATGGTTTTAGTAGCACTATGGCAAGGCAAACCTTTTTAAAGGGACACTATATTCACCTGAACAACTTTAGCTAAATGAAGCAGTTTTGGTGTATAGAACATGCCCCTACAGCCTCACTGTTCAATCCTCTGCCATTTAGGAGTTAAATCCCTTTGTTTATGAACCCTAGTCACACCTCCCTGCATGTGACTTGCACAGCCTTTCATAAACACTTCCTGTAAAGAGAGCCCTATTTAGGCTTTCTTTATTGCAAGTTCTGTTTAATTAAGATTTTCTTATCCCCTGCTATGTTAATAGCTTGCTAGACCCTGCAAGAGCCTCCTGTATGTGATTAAAGTTCAATTTAGAGATTGAGATACAATTATTTAAGGTAAATTACATCTATTTGAAAGTGAAACCAGTTTTTTTTTTTTAATGCAGGCTCTGTCAATCACAGCCAGGGGAGGTGTGGCTAGGGCTGCATAAACAGAAACAAAGTGATTTAACTCCTAAATTACAGTGAATTGAGCAGTGAAATTGCAGGGGAATGATCTATTCACTAAAACTACTTTATTAAGCTAAAGTAATTTAGGTGACTATAGTGTTCCTTTAAGTCATTGATATACGGTAGCTTCTTTTCAGCTCAACATCAATACCTTTCACAAGACTAAAGTGTCAATAACTAAATACTGTATATCAGGAGCACATGATGATTATGTCAGAAAATGCAGAAGAATAAGTATCAACTATACTTTAAACACCAAAGGTGTGTGTAAATCAAGGACATTGATACTTTCCTAACTCCTTTGCAGAAGTTAAAATTGCTTATATTTGTCAGAAATGTCTTCTGGACATAATGTTTCACAGGACCAGTTGGACAGTGATATACCTGTCTATATGACCAATTCCCCACTTGATAGACTGCTCTGTGGAACCCCACCAAGAGACCTGCAGTTAAGTGAGATAAAAAAAAAGCTCAGTATCAGTTGAAGCTGAATTTCGAAACTGATGTGTTTTCATAACTTTTATTGCAATTAGCAGGACACCAAGAAGATCCCAACACTATATCAAACCGTGACAACCAAGCAAGCCGGAGAGCTGAACAGGACATTGAAAGTCTTGATATCGCTGCAGACACCGGCAGAGGTGAGTGAAATTTCCATTAGAAGTTATTGGACAGGCATCACAGATGAAAATTCTTATTCGTTTATTTACTAAATAGCGAATTATAAAACACATTTATTGGAAAAAATGGGTCAAAATATCTGAGTTGGCAAAATTCAACAGCCTTGCTCGAAACAACTTCATACACAACTTTTCTTATGGTCTAAAATGTTCGAATTCTCACACGTTTCCCAGTTATATCGTTCCTGTAAGTGCCAATACTGGCCCCCCTGATCATAGACAGAGACCCAATCTACTACTTTCATTATACATCATCCATGTTTTAACACACTTCGACTTTACTTTGATATATCGGTACATCAATGATAATAGTTCATAATACGGAGTTAAGCATTACTGTGTAACCCAAAATCTCACAACATGTAACATGTTAAATTCTGAAACACCTAAAGATTTAGTCAAACAAAATATAATGAATTGAAAACAAAATTCATTATAGTTCATTTCAGTTATAGTTCAATATTTTGTGTTAAAACTCCTGATTGCCATGTCAAATTAGTCAGATTTATTTTTTAGCCATATTATATCCTCTGTTGTTGCATTCGACACTTTTAGTTATAACAATGTTAGGAGACAACAGCAACAGACTCCAAATGCAAATGCCTAGTAACAGTTGATTAACCTACTCATCAATTAGGGTTTATCACGTAAAAAAATTGAGTAAGGTTAAGGGCCCCAAATTAATGATGTCTTTAATTCATCCTATTAGTCATTGCTTCATTTCAAATCTAGCATGCTTACGTACAGAGCCCAATAAAACAAAGCTTTGGTTACTGTCAAAATCCTTATGGCCTGCAGAGCATTTTCCTGCTTGTATTTCCATATGAAGTAACATTTAAAATATATACCACTCTTTTCTGACAGATGGACCGATGAGCAAGAAAGTGTCAGAAGAATCCCATGTGGCAGAGTTCATACAGGAAGATGGTACGGTCCAGCCCTCTGGATTTCAAGAGAACTTTGGAGGAATGCCTTCGAACCTGTTAGATTCACTTCAAATCAGAAATGTCACATCTACATATAGATCTTATAAATCTGAACAAGCCATACGTGCTTTAAATAAGACCGTGACTAGTGACCGCATTGAGGTCCCTTTGAAAACGAAACATGCAGTCAGTGGTTGTGCAAAGAGTTCCACTGGAATGTTGGCTTCAGCAGATCGTCCTGTATCCGCTCTCGGGAAACCTTATGCTTGCAATGACTGTGGGAAAGACTTTGATTATAAATCCAATTTAATTAAACATCAGCGAGCCCATGCGGTTGAGAAGCCTCTTGGTCGTAATGAAAGCATGGTCCAGTCTGGGACCAAACCAATTTTTTCTGTTTATCAAAGGACAAATAGTAGTAGGAAACGTCATCGATGTAACTTGTGTGGGAAACAGTTTACCTACAAATCTCAATTTACAACGCACCTCAGAACACACACCGGAGAGAAACCCCACAGCTGCAATCAATGCGGGAAGAGGTTTGCATACAAATCGTATCTCATCACACATCAGAGGATTCACTCAGGGGAGAGGCCACACATTTGTACTCATTGTGGGAGGTGCTTCACGGATAAGTCAAATCTACGTAAACACCAAAGTACTCATTCAGAAGAGAGACCTTACACTTGCCTTAAATGTGGAAAACACTTTTATTCCAAATATAATTTTACTGCCCATCAGAGACTTCACATGGAGAGGCCTTCTCAGGACAACTAGCTACAATAAGAAATGGTGTTTATAATATATAGGTACTGTGTATATATAATGGAACATTACGGCAGGGCACATATGCAACACTACATAGTTACAGTGTTTCTGCAGGCACTCTTTGTGTGACCACTGAAACTGTTAAAAAAAAAAAAAAGAAATCCCGTTTTATGGATTTATTGAATAGACTGCATTGGTAATACCTCCTGAGAGGTATTAGGGAAGGGAGAGATACGGTTATGGAGGGATAGAGAGTGTCTAAAGAAAATGGTTGTTTTAGGAATGTTTTGGCAACAGAAATCTACTTGTGGTTGGTTGTGTAGTAGGTAACTTCGTACAGACCATGCTAATAATAATAATAGAGATGGCCTACAATAGTATGATGAGTTCATATGAAGTGATGCATGTATCATTTATTTTTCTCGTTGGATGTTTTTTTTTTTTTGTGGAAGACAGCAGGCTTAGGCTGGTAAAAATGGACTACGTTGAGGTATATAGTAATGTGTGAATGGTGGGTAGCCACCTCTATTGTCATTCCTAGAGTTATGACATTCTCTTGATTGGAATTGCTATAGTTGAGAGTTAGCCTGTTTAGAGTAGGGGTGAAAGGGCTGGCAGAGACACCAATTATTTTGATTGTAGTAAATGTTGCATTGAAAATATCTGCAAAAAAAATATTGATTAAAAATACCTTTACTTTTCCTTTTGCAGTTAGTCATTTTGTGGAGCAGTCCAATGTGATGGCACTAACTCACAGTAATCTGTGAAGAAGCCTATTAGGAGCGAGAGGGGTTTGTATAGCATACAAAACATTTGGATGTATAGAGGTGGGAGTACATAGGGGGACAGGCTTATAGCTGTGCGATGTTTAGAAATTGCTGTAGTCCTTAGCAATTGTTTACAGGGAGACAAAGAGCATAGACTGCAATGGTACTTGGAACCATTGTCTCATAAGCCACAAAATGGCTTCAGAAGTCTCTCATAGACTGTGTTGAGAATATATTAATAGATGTAATTACCATACGCAGCAATCCTAATAAAACTAAGACTGTGTGCCACTGGAGGGTGATTGGTCACAAATTAAAAAAAGTAGGAGGGATATTGGGAAACACGTACAAGGTGCAGTTTGTTTACCTGTTGGTCTAACCAAGTTTAGTGTATAGATTTCGTAACCGTTTCATTGGTGGATCACTGAAAGTTCTGTTCAGAGGAAACATTGCATACTTGAGCCACCTATTCATACTGTAAATATACAGTAATCATGTTTGTGATGCTGAGAGAGCAGGAGCTGACGTGGGACAAACAAAATTGTGTGCTGTAAATAATAATCTTATTTAAAGAAATAGCAAGGATAATGACCAGTTATCTGGGCCCTTCCAGACGGGCACACCGGCCGGTGGAAAACTTGAATGCATTCTGTGTGTCCACAAACAGAATGCCTGGCAAAAACAGACAGACTGATGGAGCTTCTTGTCAATCACAATCCACAACAGCTAGAGTGTATTCAGTACCCGTGCATTCGGCAGATGGCAGGAGCTCCAGGAGAAGGCATGACAAAGTATCAGCCCCATCAACTGATTTTGTTGCGAGCGAGAAGAATATACTTCTTTTGTATTTGTGCCTGAGATGTTGCCACTTGATTGTTCAACATAATTTGACTTTGCTAGGATTAGCAAGTGGTTGTTTTTTTTTTTGGTTGTTTTCTTCTTTTACTGTACCATAACAGTTTGCAGTAATAATCCTGTAGAAGTGTGGTTTAATGTTGTAACTGGAATATTGCACCCAGCTGCATCTGCAAGTAACATACTACCTCATGGCACATGACAAGAATAGATTAATGCACCCAGTAGTTATACTAAAGACTGTTTGAACCTTAATGATAACAGAAGAAAAGGAGAGATGTTCCGTGAAGTGTAGGAATTCATGATTGCCGGTAGCAAAACCAATGGACACCTGGGCAGAACATGGAGCCTGTCTACCACTTTTGTTCCCATGGTGTCTAAGCGTGTACATGTTGCTGGGAGCTTGTGGATGGTGAGTGCAGTGCAATTACCTAACCGAGGCCTGTACCCGTGCTAAGACACTGCCTAGAACCTAGAATGTCCTACAGAAAACCACAGAAGTCATTTTCTGTGAGAATGTACTGGTGCTGCCCTTTTAAAGTAATGATGCTACCGTGGAAGCGGTACCCAGGAAGAGCACTCAGGAACCCAGGAAGTGTATTATGGCTATTCTGATAACACTTGTTTCTATAATGGCAGAATAGGTGACAAAGTACTATAAAATATGGTTTGTATTGAAGTTATAGTAGAATAGCATGGACGAAGACGATGGCTAATCTTGATCAATTGTTTTTTGTTTTTGTTTTTTTTTATAACAAATTAACACAAACTTGTCACTTTGTAAAAACCTCTTTCTTATTGCTCCTTGTAGACTTAAATGATAATTACTCCTCTTTATTCATATTGATCATGTAAAGCCACTAAAATCCACACAGTTAAAAAAAAAAAAAAAAAAACAACAACCCTTTTTTAAAAGATACCACTAATGTTGAAATATATAATTAGAATAACAGGTGGTCCAATGTTTAGCAAAGTGGTTAAAAAACCCCCAACCTTTATTTATAGCCATAATTATGTGTCAATGTTTCTGATGACTCTAGTCTAGCGGAAGTGAAGGTACATAGCTCCGGTGTACGATGTCTCAGAAAGCCAATATGTTATGTCACAGTGGAATTGTTTTGCTCAGGTTAAATAGACTTCGATTCGCTTTGACATATTAAGAACCCTATAAGGACCTAATTCCGTCTGTGCTGTCCATGTGTGACCATGGAAGGTCCTGTTTTATTTACCATCAGAAGTTCCATAACATTCTGCTGTTTCTAAGGGAGACAAGTAGAGTCTCTACAGACCAGTTTGTTATGATGAGATTGGTTTTGGATGGGTTCCCTGTATGCTTGCTGTTCTATGAAATCCAAGTACTTGTGTTGTAGCGTTTTTGTTTTGTTTTTTTTCCATGGAATCTTTGCAAATCATTTGGTCTTTCCTTTTCCTAGTTTATCAAATATCTTTATATGTAGAAACTTTGCTGGTGGCCAATCTCTGTAATATCATAATCTGGTTTATCATGAGTGTACTACAGTACTTTTCCGCGTGTCTAATAACTTTGTATCTAGTGTGGCTTGAAGAGGATAAGTTGTCATTTGTGGAAGGGTTAGAAAAGTATAACTTTCATTGGCATTGTGTTCATACTTGTTTCGAATTCCAAGTTTACAGTTACAACTTTCATTGGCATTGTCTTCGTACTTTTGTGGAATTCCGAGTTTACAGTTATGATGTCCCTTATCTTTTGAAACATGGTTCATTTAAACTAGTCATGTTTAGTACACCTCAAAGCAGGCAGTAATAGTATTACAGACAATGTCTTATGGTGAAGATCACTATAGAAATACAATGTCTGGTTCCATGGTGATAAATGAGTCACCACTTAAGGAACAGTGTAACAAATGCTTGCCCTTCGTATGATCAGAGTAGACATTCTTATGGCCATACCACGCATATATCGATCACCTACCAGAGAACATTATTAGTCTTTTCATATTTATAATAATGGCAACTGCACTGCTTGAATTCTTACCACATATTCAACTGTTCTACTCAAAAACAAATCTGAAAAGTGAACTGCAATAAAAGTAGCTGAATCTAGTTGATTGTCCACAATTTTGATTAAAAGCACCAGACTTCAAAAACCTCATAGTGCCATTTAACCATGCCACTAGAGACAGGCTCTGCATCATGGGAAATGTAGTTGACAAACATCTGCAGTGCCAAGGTTAGTCATTACTGCTACACAAAAGTTATTTTTTTGGCGCCTTTAGAAATCGCTGGATCATCAAATTGAAATACTGTTTTTTTTATTTTTTTATTCTGGCTATAAATTTAGCTTAACCTTTGCTAAACAGCTAGATTGTCAGGGACTGTCTCCATCATTATTACCAGTCTGTGCCCTCACACCATGCGACAGTTAGTGGAGCACATTAACACTGATAATAAAATAAACCGGGGGATTAAAAGCTTCTCACTAAATTGAGAAATTCCATTTTTTTGTTTTGTTTTATTTTTAGCAATTAGTTGTAAAAGTATTAGTTCTAAAAGTCACGTTTGTTTTTATTATTTAATGAACACTTTTGTGCTGCCTCCCCCCCCACTCCCCATTTTTTTTTAGTTGCTAAATGTAATAGTTATTTATTGTTGCTTATATTTAAAATGTTATTTCACTACATCATGCTGGTTAATCGATTGTTCCCCCCCCACCCCACAGTTTAAAACATGTCACTTGCACAGCTCTTAGCACCATTAAATGTATTTATTAAACCTATCTCTAAACTTGTGCAGTTTATATATTAGTCAATGTTTTTATTTCAGAGAAATTGATTATAAATGTATTGTCTAGTTATCCTTGGCAGGGTTGATGATTGTGCCTTACAGTATTTAACATTAGATTAAACACACTCTTGGCTTTTCCTTAATTCCCTCCACAAAACTGCTGGAACCAGCTCTAACCATAGAGGACTAATAATTTAAAGGTACAGAAAAAAATATTAATAATATTGCTTATTTAAATGAACGTATGGGAAACCCAACCCATAGCCCGGCATCATTATCTGAGATATAAAAGCATTCACTGCCAGGAGCGGGCGATAATCCAAACTGATTCTGCACTGGTGGATGACAATGAACATGCAGCTGATAAGAAGTACTGGTGTCTAATCACTTCCCCAAAAATGTCCAAATTGTATGAATCCTAGAATGTTTTATACAATTTGTATTTAGAATATTGGACCTATGTTGGGAAGATTATGGAGTGAACAATATATTTGGCAACAATAGGCAATCTAGAGAACATTTGAACACCCAGCGACCCACGATATGATTCAATGCAGACCGGGTTATTCACTAAAGTGAGAGTTGTTGGAATGTTTTTCTAATGTCTCATTTTACCTAACTTGTGAAATTCACGTTAAATTCCCAAGTCCAATCATTTTGTCCCTTAAATTTGAAATTTACTTTGAATTCTTGAAAGTTCTCACTTTCTGCCACTTGCTCGAAAATGTGCATTAACCTAGTCAATTATCTTTAATTTAACCTGTCAATGTAGATTAGTATAATTTAATCACCAAAATGAAAATTATTGGAAATTCTAAAACCCATTCTGACTTAAAATTTGTATTCACTTTGAATTCTGGACAATTTACACTTCAGTGAATAATTCGGTCAGTATGGGATTTATTCACTAACAATGTGAATTAAAGAGAACTGATAAAAGAAATGCATGTTTTAAGTCAAAATATCAGAAATGGGAAAAATTATTTTAGGCGGCTTAAATTTATAATTAAATCTTAATGAAGTCTTCCCAGACTACATTTTAGTGAATTAACTTATTAATGGTTTAACAGATCCACCTTAAAGCTACCTTTACAATTAACCAGCATTCAATAAATCTGCTATTATCCTTGGAAGATCGTATTACGTTAGCTATTTATCAGTTCGCCAGTCCATGATATACTGGGTTTCTATAATGATATATCTTACAGCTAGTTCTAGCATTGCAACTAGTAGCCACTAGGTGGTGCTATGAGTCACTTATGGCTGACGTGTAATAATAAGGGAATTAAGAATTATAGGTAAGCACGAACGCATATTATATACTGCCTAAGAAAAGTACTTTAACAGGACACTGTTAATCTGTATCCAGGATGAGAAGTGAACATAGAACGTGCAAGTGTGTGACCTCTGTGTACATTAAAGGAAACACAGAAACATAGAATGTGACAGCAGATAAGAACCATTCGGCCCATCTAGTCTGCCCAATTTTCTAACTTTCATTAGTCCCTGGCCTTATTTTATAGTTAGGATAGCCTTATGCCTATCCCACGCATGCTTAAACTCCTTTACTGTGTTAACCTCTACCACTTCAGCTGGAAGGCTATTCCATGCATCCACTACCCTCTCAGTAAAGTAATACTTCCTGATATTATTTTTAAACCTTTGTCCCTCTAATTTAAGATTATGTCCTCTTGTTGTGGTAGTTTTTCTTCTATAGACTCTATCCAGGCACAGTCCAGGGGGCCCAAGCAAAATGTTTGCGTAGGGTCCAATCAAATTTAAAGATGGCCCTGATACATAGTATATGCTTTGTCATCCCTAATATACTTTATTTAATCCTCTTATTACCCCTTTTGCTAGCCCTGGATTAATTTCTCCTTGCATGACACCAATCCTTCTGTTTTTACTGTTTCAGTTTTCTCCACTTTACTATTCTGCCAGGGCGCACATTTTCCCTCATCTCCTTACATTTCTGGGTCTCTGGGGCCTTCATGGATCTTCCCTGATCACTCTGCGCCTCCTCGTGGGAGGACGTATTCAAGAAGTCCATGTGTGCTTGTGGTGGCCATCTTGGATCTTGTCTCAAGATTTACAGTGGCCATTTTTGATCATCCGGCTCCATACTAGCGGTTCCGGCAGTCGGATTCCTGACACTAAGCTATTTTCTCCCATACAGGTAGACTTGCCTCAGGTAACCTGCATTCAGAGTTAATACAACCCAAGCCCACCTAATTTATCAGTATTGTAATTAAGGGCAGTTTTCTCCCTCAGATCATCAGGTACTTGGGGTGAGCCCCCACACTAAAGACATATATTCCCTGGGGTGAGCCCCTATTTAGATATACATTACTGTGGCATACACTGGATTTTTGGGGGGCGAGCCCCCACCTATACTCTATATGATCTAAATCAGCAGTTCCTAAACAGGGTGCCCCGATGTGTACACAGTGGTGCCGCAGAATGTTTCCCTGGTGCTATGATTATAGTACTGGGGAAACATTACTACTGAACATGGGCCCAGTCAAGTGCCGCGGTCCTTTAAGACGGCAAACGGCCCCATGTAATGTTAGCTAGCTGGGAAGAAGTGACAGCCGTCACTTCCTCACAGCATCCTGCAGGGAGACTGCAGGAGTTGCTCCAGACTCACACCAGCAGCAGGACTCCAAGCCACCCTCCTGGACACATAAAGTAAGATAACAGGAGGGTGGTTGGAGATATAAAGAAGTATCATGTGTATGAGTTTCTGTATGTGTGTGTGTGTGTGTGTGTGTGTGTGTGTGTGTGTGTATATATATGTCAGTGTGCTTCAGTGTGTGTGCACACATGTATGTATGTGCATCTGTGTGTCAGGGTGTGTATCTGTGTCATGGTGTGTGCATGTATCAATGTTTGTGTGTATCAGGTTGCATGTCGGTTTATATCTATTTGTGTGTATGTGTCATGTATTTATATGTATCTGTATGTTAATGTGCATGAATATCTGTGTATGTTTGTGTGTATGTGGTAGTGTATGTGCATACATCCAAGCAGTCAAACACCAGCACAATATAGGGTCCAATCAATATTAAAGACGGCCCTGATTCATAGTATATGCTTTTTCATCCCTAATATACTTTATTTAATCCTGAATTTGCACTCTGCTGATGTTAAAGTAGACCGCCTACCTCTACCTCCTCTTGCTGTGTTGCAATCTGCCGCTGGGGAGGGAGGCTGGCTGCCTGTACCTCCACACGTTGGACTCCCATCTTCCGCTGGGGAGGGAGGCTAACATCCTCTGATATAAAGTCAATAAAATCTGTGGGCATATCCTCCCAGATTAGTTGCACCTCTGCCAAGAGCTGCTGCAAACCTTTTCGCCGGAGACCTGGAACAGGAAGTAAAAGTCTGAGGATGCCATGCTTGCCTGACAAGTATGTTGCACAAGTGCTATCCCTTTCCAGAAGGTGCGCAGGTATCCCAGGGACGTTTCCCAAGGTGTAAAGAAGCCATCCCACCGCTGCCACCAAATGTGATGGAGCTCTTGTACTCTTACCTAGTATCTCCGCCCAGTCCGCTTCCTAGCTGCTTGCAGGGACCCTGGAGCACTTCAGCCCCTGATGTCGAAGTTTGACTGGGGTCCTTCTGGAGATTTTCCATCCAGGTAGGTATAGTACCCTCTTTCTCTTGGTGCAGCCCTTCTTCCAGGCAGGTATCCACACTTATCTGCAATGTTATAACTCTTGTTTTTAAAAATACACTTGCAGCTTAGCTCTCTTGCTTTATCCTAGGGCTAAAGGGACCCTACAACCAGCAAACAGATCTAAAGACTCTATCATTAAGATCCCTACAAATCCACACAGGACACAAGTTCCAAAAGGAACTGTCATATAAAGCTTTATTTTTCTCAGGACTAGCCCATATGATTATTACATAAAGATTGCTGTGACAACTCAAAAAAAATAGAAACAGTCAAATCATAGCAGACAAAATACAGCAATTTATAAAACATTGACATATTTATAAAGGGGTGGGGAAGACAGAAATTAACAGAAAATTAACAGAAAATATCTCTCCTGCCTGCAGAATTAGCAAGATGCAAATCTACCCAAATATGCAAATTCACCAGCCTTGCTATTCAGTAGTGCATATTGCTGTTGCTGCCAACAGAGGGCACTACACAGGCTCTATAGCCAAATCCACCTAGTTGGTAGCAATCTTCAGTAGTAAAGGAGAGCAGGCAAAACACTTAACAGTATACACATACACATTATAAACAATTACAATAGACACACCCTGCACCTATAATGGGTACAGGGTGACTAAAACATAAGAAAAGTCCAGCAACCTACATAAATAATCTGTCTGAAGGTCCAGGTGATGGTGACTACCGTTATACATATATATATATAAATATATATATATATACACTCTGATTGTTGCAGATTTCCTTGACTGGCATTGCGTTACAAGCTTTGAATGAGAACCTTATTACTGCCTGCCACCTGTGACTGGCTGGTCTGAGGTTTCAGCTGTCACGAAATAGAGCTAAATAGTTGGCCCTCGTTTTCTGTACCCATCACCTATTGCTTGCATACCCACATACTCTGGGTGATACCCTGTTATATTGAGCTATAGAGATGTTGAAACATGAATGCTGTCCAGGAAGTAGGAGGGTCTGGGAGGGAGGGTCTGCTGGAGATTGGCCGGGACGTGTCAGCTGACCGGAATTCGCCGTGAACAGCTCGCGGCGAACCGTTCGCGAGAAGTTCGCGGACGGTTCGCGACATCTCTATTGAGCTAGTGCCTCTAACTGTTGTTACATGTTATTAAAAATCAAAAAGAGTAAATTTAGCAATGAGGTCTCAGATTTTAGCTATAATAGTAAATAGTTACCAGTCCTGCAGCTGTTATAAATAGCTTAGAAACTCATACATAAAATAACGGAAAATGAGAGCGAATAGGGTAGTATATTTCTTAAACACAATAACATCAAAAAACATAAAAGCACAAACAAGATGGCACAAATCAATATGCCCACTATGAGGCTGAGTCCCAGTGTAAATCAGCAACAGTTAAAGTCCATTGAGTGATAGGAGCCCCACTGGTAACGGCTCCTCCGGAGTCCTGTACCTTGTACAAAGTGGAAATGTAGTAGCTGTCCAGGGAATCCCTCCAATGATCGTTGCTCGCTCTGTGCATTTTGTGCATTTCAGTTAGGACTTCTTCAGGAGAATTTGATCCACTGTCTGATTTATTCCATCCCTCCAATTGCTGCATCTTGTTATGAATGGACAACATTTTGGCAGTGCAATATACCAATGGTCTTGGAGGAGCAAGATCCCTCACTATTTCAGAAGTGTTGAAGGAAATATATACGAATTTTGCTGTCAACACAACATTATGCTCAGGGTGGAGTGATTCTAAATCGTATTCCTCTTTATTTTTCTATCCTTATTTTCACGACATCCCGAAGCTTTGCGTTGTTTCTGCATTTACCCATTACGTAGAGGTTACTTTCCTGTTACTGACATCTCAATCTGGGAATTTGCTCATTGTTCATCCACATAAACCAGTGTCCACTACTACCTTAGCTCGGTGGATTTTCTGGTTATTGTCCTTGGTGGGTATGGATCTGTGTTATGAGGCCCACTCGGTTCGAGGTGTGGCAGCCTCACTGGATTTTTCTGTGGGAGCAACCCTTTTGATATCCTACAGTCGGCTGACTGCTCCAGGGTAGACACATTCAGACGGTTTTTATTATCGTCCTTCTCCTCATGCTTCCTTTTGGTATTGTTTCAGAGCATTAATACAGCAAAATATGAAGCCTCCTGTCCTGCAGTAAAATTGTAGATTATGCTATATCTTTCATATACCTGTAACCTTAATTTTAGTAATGACAGGAGGCAAATATTTCCTTACCATTTATAAAATATTTCCCTTTGTTTTCTTTTATGTTTATTCCACCGCATTGATTGTTCTTCTGAGGTATGTAGGCCAGTTTGCTATATGTTGATGGCTGAATCTGATACATTATAGGCCTTGATTTCTTATCGCCAGGTTTTTTCGTGATGTAAATTCATTTTTTATGCTCTGCTTGATAGTTTTTTTTCCATGAGTAATACATTGACTAACCTTTATTTCTTGCTTTTTTTCCCATGAGTAATTCATTGACTAACCTTTGTTTTTCTCTCGTTTCAGTATGATCTTTGGATGAAAGTATTTTGTTGAAAAGTTTATGTTCTACTCAAGTTAGTTATATTAGTTATAACGCGTAACTATTAATGGAGTCAAAGTAAAATTCACACCACAGAAGTGCATGCAGATGATAAAACGGCGGTGGGTAGCGTCCACAGATGTTTAAGCTCTTGGGAAACTGGCTGCTCTTAATCCATCGCTACATGCACTCCTATAACGTGAACTCTAATGAAACTGATAAGAGCATTCCATGTGGAGGATGTGTTCCTTGATTCTAATTTATAACAATAATATTAAATTGGGGGGGGGGGGCAGTGTATTTGGGAAGGAGGGGGCAGTGTATTTATTTGGGGGAGGGGGCCAGTGTATTAATAGGAGGGAGGGGGGCAGTGTATTGGAGTGGGATTGGGGGGAGCAGTGTATTAATTTAAGAGAGGGAAGGGACAGTGTATTAACTTGGGGAGGGAGTGGTCAGTTTATTAATGAGAGGGAAGAGGGCAGTGTATTAATAGGAGGGAGGGGGCAGTGTATTAATGGGAGGGAAGAGGGCAGTGTATTGGAGTGTTGGTGGGGGGGAGCAGTGTATTAATTTAAGAGAGGGAAGGGACAGTGTATTAACTTGGGGAGGGAGAGGGGTAGTATATTAATGGGAGGGAAGGGGCAGTGTATTCATTTTAGGGAGGGAGGGAGCAGTGCATTGGAGTGTTGGTGGGGGGAGCAGTGTATTAGTTAATATATTAAATTGGGGAGGGAGAGGGGCAGTATATTAATGGGAGGGAAGGGGCAGTGTATTAATTTGGGGGAGGGAGGGGCCAGTGTATTAAATTGGGGGAAGGGTGCAGTATATTAATGGGAGGGAAGGGGCAGTGTATTAATTTGGGGGAGGGAGGGGCCAGTGTATTAAATTGGGGAAGGGTGGCAGTGTATTAATGGGAGGGAAGGGGCAGTGTATTAATATGAGGGAGGGGGCACTGTATTAATTGGGGAAGTCAGGGGGCCATTGTATTAAATTGGGGAAGGGGGACAGTGTATTAATGGGAGGTAGGGGTCAGTTTATTAATGGGAGGGAAGGGGCAGTGTATTAATATGATGGAGAGGGCACTGTATTAATTTGGGGAAGTCAGGGGGCCAGTGTGTTAAATTGGGGAAGGGGGACAGTGTATTTGAAGGAAGGAGGGGGCAGTGTATTAATGGGAGGAAGGGAGGGGGCCTGTGTATTTATTTATTTGAGGGAGGGAGCCAGTGTATTAGAGCGGTGACGTGCTTCTTTTTAAATTAGGGGTATGGAGAGAAGTGTATTAAAGTGGAGTGGGGACAGTCTATTCAATTAGAGCGGAGGGACAAGGGGCAGTGTATTAGATTGGGTGAAGGGGGCAGTGTATAACAGTGGAGGGAGGGGGAAAATGTATTGGATTTGTGGGCAGTGTATTAGATTGGGAAGAGGGCCAGTGTGTTAGATTGGGTCTGCATGGAGACACTAAACGCTCCCCGTGGAGATGCTGTTTGGCCGCGCAGCTTTTTGCCACACATTCACAATAGCCTCCCAATGCTTTCCTATGGGAAATCATTGGATTGGCTGAGATCATCAAGTTTGATGATCTCAGCCAAAGTGCTGAATACACCCATAGAACTTTAAAATCAACAAGATAATGTAATTTGTTTTTTTTTACAGGTGTGCAACAACATACATTCACCATTTCAGTCCCATTACCAAACATTTCTTAATATGTCAAGGTAGTTGGACTGAATCGTTGGTTATATGCAAATGCAGGTCTCCTTAAAATAACGTGCGTCTCCATGCTCTTTTGTTTACTTTGAAGCCCTACAAGCGTGAGGACGTCCAGTGTCAGTAAGGCAACTTTTTTTATACTGTACTTTTCTAAATAAACCTACGTTTCTATGAAAACTGAAGTTTATTTTTTTTTGCGGCCCACATAAACGTAAACCTTGTTTATTTGGCCCGTCTTTGAGTTAAACACGCTTGCACTACACTATATTACCCCTCCATTACATTACACAAACGTCTACACTATACTACCCCTCCATTATATTACACTAACCACTACACTATATTACCCCTCCATTATATAACACTAACCACTACACTATATTATCCCTCCATTATATTACACTAACCACTACACTATATTACCCCTCCATTATATTACACTAACCACTACACTATATTACCCCTCCCTTATATTACACTAACCACTACACTATATTACCCCTCCATTATATTACACTAACCACTACACTATATTACCCTTCCATTATAAAACTACATTAAATTAACCACTACACCATATTACACTATTATATTATGTTAACTATTAACTGCTACACTAGGTCAAAACCCCTTAAGTGACTTACCGGGGTCCAACGCCAATGTCCCTCGGCGCTGGGTCAGGCTCCGCCTACTCTCCTCCCCCGCCGACGTCACCCGGTGGGGGAGAACTAATGCGTATACGCAGCATTATTCAATGCCTTCCCATGGGGATTCTGGCGACGCTGGAGGTCCTCACATAGTGTGAGGACGTCCAGCGTCGTTTAAAACACTTTTCGTGTTCTAAGAATGACAATATGCAATGTCAATCTGCTGTTGCTAAGGCCAGTTTTGTCATGCATAAATAGGGGCATAAATTCTCGAGATGAAAATATAATTTTGCCTCTTTATAAATCGCTGGTAAGACCACACCTTGAATATGCTGTGCAAAGTGCAGAGCCGAGCTACAAAATTGCTAAAAGGAATAGAGCATTTTAGTTATGAAGAAAGGTTAAAAAATTTAAATCTCTTTAGTTTGGAAAAACGGCGCCTGAGAGGGGATATGATAACATTATACAAATATATTCGGGGCCAGTACAAACCATTATCTGGAAATCTATTCATAAACAGGGCTATACATAGGACACGAGGTCACACATTTAGGCTTGAAGAAAGGAGATTTCATCTAAGGCAAAGAAAAGGTTTTTTTACAGTAAGAGCAAAAAGGATATGGAATTCTTTGCCTGAAGAGGTGGTTTTGTCAGAGTCTATACAGATGTTTAACCCCTCAAGGACACATGACATGTGTGACATGTCATGATTCCCTTTTATTCCAGAAGTCTGGTCCTTAAGGGGTTAAACGGCAATTGGATTAATACTTGCAAAAACATAACATACAGGGATATAATTTCTAATTAGTGGGGTAATAGCTGCTTGATTCAAGGAGACATCTGACTGCTATTTTGGGGTCAAGAAGGAATTTCTTCCTAGTTTGTTGCAAAATTGGAAGCGCTTCAGACCAGGTTTTTTGCCTTCTTTTGGATCAACAGCAAAAACATATGAGGAAGGCTGAACTTGATGGACGCAAGTCTCTTTTCAGCTATGTAACTATGTAAGAACATTAAAGTCCCTCAAGTGGCTGTCTGGTAGACAGCCACTAGAGGAGGACTTAACCCTGCAAGGTAATTATTGCAGTTTATAAAAACTGCAATAATTACACTTGCATGGTTAAGGGTAGTGGGAGTTGGCACCCAGACCACTCCAATGGGCAGAAGTGGTCTGGGTGCCCGGAGTGTCCCTTTAACCCCTAACACAAGCTGTAATACACTGACCTGAGCCTAAACATACATAGTGATAAAGTGTTATTATATCACTATAATAACACTATATCACTACAAAACAATGGCATTATTTTAACATAATATAATGCATATGGAGGGGTTTAGAAGACATTATAATCCCTAAAACCAAAAGCTCAGTGCCTGCAGATTACCGAGATGCCATTTATTTTGCCTTAATGTTTTTATTTTATATTACATGGTTAAAAAAATATATACCGTACCGGTATTTAAATTTGCTCCACAACAGATGGATTGCTAGAGGTGTGCCACTTGTAGCAAAATCACACAAATACAGCAGAATAGAGCAAATAGAGAGACCAGAGCAGGAGATTTCTCAGAGATTGTTATTTCCTTTGTGGGTTTTAGCCAGGGCCGGACTGGGGATACAAAGCAGCCCTGGAAAAAAAATTTGTGCCAGCCCCATAAGTCACTGCGCCATATATTGTCGCGTGTAATATGTAAGGCTATATCTTTCCAGGACAGATGATTGAGTAATATATATATATATATATATATATATATATATATATATATATTGCTTTTTCTAATATAAAATATTGGTCCTTTCAGGGTAAAGCGTTTAATTATACAGTAAGCATACGCACATGCAGACACAGGCAATTTCACTGACATTTCAGTGACACACACAAGCTCATTGATACACAGCCTCATAGACAAACAATCTTACTGATATACATCAGCTCATTGACATAAAAACACAAACTCACTCACTAGCAGGCACACGCATGCAAGCAAGCTCACTCACTAGCAGACGCACACACACAGCTTAATGTGGTGGTACTGGTGTCTATAGCATGTCCCTACAGGCTTTTCAAAGTAAACACTGACTTTTCAGACAAAAGGCAGTGTTTACATTGCTTCAAAGTGACACTGCTAGTGACAGTCACTCAGACGGTCACTAGAGGTGCTTCCTGTGTTAATGCCCTCCCGCCCTCGCGCGCTGCTGAATGAGACTGGCGCCGGAATATGACGTCATATTCCGGCGCCGGTCTCATTCAGCTGCGTGCTGGGGAGCAGAGCCAGCGCAGCTCGCGCAGCTCCCTCAGCGGCCGCCAGGACAAGTCCGCCAGCGGCCGCCAGGACAAGTCCGCCAGCGGCCGCCAAAAGACCTCCCCAGCGGCCAGGAGAGGGCTGGCAGCCTTAGGCCTGGGGGGCAAAACCAGTCAAGTAGACTGGTGCACCTGCCCAGGATCAGAGCCGGTGCAAGGATTTTTGCCGCCCTAGACAAAATAAAAATTTACTGCCCCCACATGTCACATCACAATGCCCCACCCATATGATCTGCCATATGAACTAACGCCAGTGCTGCACACAGTGTGTGTTTACATTAAAAAGCCTGCAGGGACCAGCTATAGACACAGAACCACTTCATTAAGCTATAGTGTCCCTTTAATGTGAGGTAAATTATAGATTAGTGTCACTAATAATATACTAGATTGCCTACTTACAAGCAGATGAGGATGATGATGGGCTGCAGTTTGGCTCACTGGTCTGGAGTAGAACAGGATCTCTGGAGGCTGTTTGCAACTGTGGTCACAAAATTCAATGTTCTGGGAGAATTGGAAGCAGCTCAATTTTTTGGGGGCCCCTTACACAGCTCAAGGTCTGGGCCCCAGGGCCTGACGGTGAGTATGCCCATAAGGCCCACTCATAAGTTCCACCCACCTGTGAGTTCACTCACAGGGAGTGGAGTGTGTAGGGGATGTGTTATGTGTTATTGTAGAGGATCTAATATGTGTGCTTATGGTATGTAGTGTTTAGGGTTACCAGTTTGTGCAGGTGATGCAGTGTGTTTGTGTGTAGTGGAAGCAGTGTGTATTTGTGTATAAAGGATGTATTATGTGTTTCTGGTTGTGTGTAAGGGATGCATTGTGTGAATCTGTGTTTGTATGCATAAGGGATGCAAGGTGTGTGTCTGTATGTGTGTGCATGAGATGCATTGTGTTTCTGTGTGTATGTAAGAAAATAAGTGTGTGTGTTTGCATGCGTGTGTACGGGTTTGCATTGTCTGTTTCTGTGTATGTGTGCAAAGGATGCATTGTCTTTGTGTGTAGGGGTTGCATTGTGTGTGTGTGTGTGTAATGGATGCATTGTGTGTTTCTCTGTGTGTAAGGGAAGCATGTTGTGTTTCTGTGTATGTATAGGGATGCATTGTGTGTGTGTGCGCGCGTAGTGTGAAAGAGCTCCCTGTCTTGGCCCCTGTCCTATAGAGCTGCCCCTTCTTCTTATTCCCCTCCTCCCCCTCTTCTTATTCCCCTCCCTCCCCTCTTCTTATTCCCCCCTCCCCTCTTCTTATTCCCTCCCTCGCCTCTTCTTATCCCTCCCTCCCCTCTTCTTATTCCCCCCTCCCCTCTTTTTATTCCCTCCCTCCCCTCTTCTTATCCCTCCCTCCCCTCTTCTTATTCCCCCACCTCCCTCTTTTTATTCCCCCCCTCCCTCATCTTATTCCCCCTCCCTCTTCTTATTCCCCCTCCCTCATCTTGTTCCCCTCCCTCTTCTTGTTCCCCTCCCTCATCTTGTTCCCCTCCTCTTTTATTCCCCCTCGTCTTATTCCCTCCCTCCTCTTCTTATTCCCCCCCTCTTTTTGTTCCCCTATCTTATTCCTCCCTCCCTCTTCTTATTCCCCCTCCCTCTTCTTATCCCTCCCTCTTCTTCTTGTTCCCCCCTCCCTCTTCTTGTTCCCCCTCCCCTCATCTTATTCCCCCTCCTCATCTTATTCCCCTCCCTCTTTTTTATTCCCCCCCCTCATCTTATTCCCCCCCTCCCTCTTCTTGTTCCCCCTCTTTTTTGCATCCCCCCTCCCCTCATTTCCCCCCCTCTTTTTATCCCCTCTCTTCTTGCCCCCTCCTCCCTCTCTTCTTACCCCCTCCTCCCTCTCTTCTTACCCCTCCTGTAGCGTGGCCGAGGCTGCCCGGTCGAGTGCGGCGACGGCGGGGTGATAGGAAGTGCACTGAGTTCGCCGCGGGTTTCTGTTTCCTGTCACCGGCCGGACTGACAGGAAGTGCACACTCAGTGTGCCCCTTCCTATCAGTCCGGCTGGCCACCGCGGACCGGAGTGCAGCTCAGCCACGCTACAGGGGAGAAGCTGCAGCCGCCTGACCGCTCTTCACAGAGCGCTCGGGCGGCTGCAGTATTTAAAGGGCCGGCCCAGGAACGCGGCCGGCCCCCAGGTGCTGCGGCCCACCGGGAAATTTCCCGGTATCCCGGTGGGCCAGTCCGGCCCTGGTTTTAGCAGTTCCTCAAAAAAAATAAATAAAATAATATCTGCGGTAGAGAGGGCGAGTATGTGTCTCTATTTTGTTTCTTCATTTCCCCCTTGCTCTAGATTAGAGCAGTCTATACCAAGACAGGCAGGAAATGAGTAGTTTGAGCCAGTTTGCTGTTGACTAATGCTATAGAGTTCAGCAACTGCTAAACGATTCCGCGTTTATTCATTGCTAGTCAGGCGTACTGTCTGCTTTATGGTGTATCTGGCTGATAATGATGGGAGTTATACTCTCTGCTGACTTATTTGCCAGGACCTTTAGTGCACACTGACCAGCAATGTACGATTCCCTGTTCGTTATAGGAAATAATATAGTACATATAATATTACTGGATGGAAAACGCCCATTGAAACGATAGGCCAATCTATCTATTTATCATGTGCTACACATGACCCATGTGAATTGAACAATTCTGATGCAAGATGTAATGAAATACCTAGGAGACATAACAATTATGGCCTGCCAGCAGTAACATGGTCTCCAAGGGAAACATAGCTGAGTTTCCATAGTGAAACTTTGTATTACAGGAGTGACTAACGGCTAGAAAAGGTTATTCACCAGCTTGTGATATTACTATAGCGGGAAAATGTAACTAAATGTGTAAGAGGAAAGATTAGAATATGAGATATAAGGGTTACAACAAGAGTGTTTGATGCTTGTCGAAACCCCCAAAAAAGATAGAGTGAGCATATATAAGGAAACTTTGTCAAGTGTTCAAAAAACATTGACAATAATGATTTTCGTTCAGTCCTTTCCGTGGCCAAGGCAGTAAGTGTATATTTCCAATATCCCTTATGGCATAGAAATTCAACTGCACCATTACTGCCATGTGGTGATGCCTCAATGTGGCCAAATCTCATAAAATAAAGTGTTGGTAACTGGTGAACTGCTACTAGGAAATACGGAATGACAGGATTATTAGAGTATTATAAAAATCGCTTATAGGGATGCTGGAAGCACTGAAATAACTTTAGCATAATGAAGCAGTTTTTGTGCATAGATCATATTCCCACAGTCTCACTTCTCAATTCTTTGCCATTTAGGAGTTAAACCACTTTCGTTTCTGTTTATGCAGCCCTAGCCACAACTCCCCTAGCTACAACTCCCCTAGCCATAACGCCCCTGGTTTCATTTTCAGTTAGAAGTTACAGTGCAGTAAAGTTGTGCAATAATGTGTTGTAGCTGGTTCGAATTCATTTTCTTTAAATCTGAGCCCCCAAAAATTGATCTGTCTAGAATGTATTCATTGAATATGACTGCACAGGTATATCCTGGAGTAATCCATTTGTACGAGTGTAAATTAAAGGCAATGTTATCAGTTTAAACCAGCTGAAATGCATTGCTGCACAAGTTCACAGTTTGGGATGGTGGCACCTATTAAGATAGGAACAGGGACACTATAGCATTAGGAATACAGGATCAGATTCCTAACATCATAGTGGTCCTTTAACTTTTATCACACACAGGAGACTGTTGCAGTCTCTAACAAGCGATTAACAGAGCAGAAATAAGAAATGATAAATGAAACACATTTTGCAATAAGGGAACATTTTAAAAAACTTTACCCTTTTTCAGGAAATGTGCAGGGAGGCCATGTGAGTTTCAGCTAGGGAATGCGTGACTAGGGCTACATAAACAAAGCGATTTAACTCCTAAACGGCCAAGAGCTGAGCAGAGAGACTGATATGATCTAGACACTAAACCCACTTTATCTGCTAAAGTTGTTTTGGTGCTTAAAGTATGATTTTAATCTTCAAGGAGAAACAATGAGGTAAGCCAGAACCAATGAATTGCATTCTACAATGGACAAAATGTATATTGCTAATGGCAATACCCTGAACGAGGTGAAAGTAGCTGACAACAATTATGGCCATATTCAGATAGTTGTAATAATTTGAGATTTTTCTAGTATTGACATCAGAAAAAATAGATTTTATTAAAGACAGGAGGTGAATATCATGGTTTAAATTCTTTTTTTTTTTTACCTCTTCAGCAGCAGTCTAAAATTAAAGCAACTGTTTAGAAGCATTTACAAAACAAAACCCCCAAACATGATAACAGCATAGAACAGGGTTAGGCGACCTTTTAGCAGCACTGTGCCGAAATAAGATTGTGATGTCCCGTAGTGTGCCGGCCTTTTTTTTTTTTTTTTAAATTGAGGTGTGTATGCTGCCGTATTCTGCTTGTGTTATTTATACTGCAGTTGCTTTGTATCGTTGTATTTGTGTGTATATGAGCTATTACATTGTATATGTTCACAAGTAGTTTTTTGTTGTTGTGTATGATACTTATGAATGTGGGCTGTGTATGGGGGCTGCTTGTGGAATTCTGTGTTTGGATGAATATATCACATTGTGTGTTTGGTAGTGTGTGTATGTGAGGAGCTGTTTGTGGTATTGCATGTGGGGTTGTGTGCATGTGTGTGGATTGTTAGTGGTAGAGTTTGTGGGGATTGTGTGCTGTGTTTGTGTGTGGGCTGTTCGTATTATTTGTATGAGGGGAGGGTTATTCTACATTTCTCTGTATATCTTGTAGCGTGGGTGGCTTCCCTGGGTTCCAGTGGAGACCAGGCTGGTCAGGTACAAATCCATGGCAGGAGCAGTAACAGCAGCTGCGGGCTGCTCTACTCCGGTGTGGATTCCCATTCACAAGTGCTGGAATGAAGTGATCTGAGATCATTTCCTCTATGTGCTGCAATGCATAAATTGAGGTTTGTCCTTCACCACCTCTTCGTATTAGCAGATATCTGAAGTTTTACTGGGACTCCTGATAGGCCAGAGCCTGTTTGGCTCTAGCAGCCTTGAGTGCTGTGCAAAGACACCTCGAGTGCCGTGCATGGCACTAGTGCCGTAGGTTGCCTACCCCTGGCATAGAACATTCAGTGACCAATCAGCTTTCAAACGTAGGCTGTCTGCAGTTTGGCAGCTTCTGAATTGGCTATTTTGTTACGCTATGGGACAATTTTAATTAAAATAGATTTCTGGTGTATACTAGTATGGTCCATATCAGGAATCTGAGAGACTTCATTTTTAGATAAAGTTGGTCTTGTGCATTCTGTCAGTAATTTGTTTTACGGTGCCTGACCAAGTGTTTTTTTTAAACCACCATTACATTTATGACTTTATGTGAGGTTGTTCTTTGTGATTGTTCTTTTGCTTCCTTGTGCGTGTTTATATAAATTTTTTGCATTCAGCCATAAATAGCTATTTCAGTGAACAATTTGGTCCTTGAGAACAAAACCTGATAAACCTGAGGATTTCACATTCATTTGATGCACCAGGGATTGGTGCCTGTGAGGGAGTTATTTTATACTCTCTTAGAACTCTTGATAAATATTTCTCACAGAAAATAATTTTTAAAAATGCATACACTGCAAAAACTGACAAGTTTAAATGTTATGTAAAACAACAAGTGTCTGTGAGAGAAAAAAAAAACGAACATTTAAACTTTTGGATTGTAGTATGGGCAAATGAGTTGAAAATGGCGCTAAATTGGCTGATAACCAGCTAATTTCAAGATCCTGCAATTGAATAACATCCGTGGGAAGGGGGGGAGGTGACAAGGAAGGAGAGAGCAGAAAAGATGGCTGTGTGCTAAGGAGGAAATCATTGACCAAAAAGAGCTACAGTGGTACATCCGAGGAGGGAGCATAGTAGAAAAGAATGCATAGGAAATCCGAACACCGGGATATAAACACTCCCGATAGAGAATAAATCAGGGCGAAAAGGGAAGGGAAAAAGCCAGATAACGAAAGTGGAACTGAAAATAAACACCAGAATACTACCACACAGAGCACGGCACAAACATTTGTATGATAACATAATATTCCTAGTTTCCTCAGGAAGATCAAAGAAAGAGGAAGGGGTTTTGATGATGATGAAAGCTCATTTGAGACGGAATGTTCCATGCGATTATCATGTTTGGTTGTTAATTCCTTCAAACTCTATTGCTTTAGACTTTGCTACTGTGGCAGTAAAGTGAGAATTGAAAGCATAATATGAGCCTCCTGTCTGTGATAAAATCCAGGGATTTAAAATAATAAAGGGCATGTTTGCAATGTTGTTGCAGCTAAAAAGCAGCTGTTAACCCCTTAAGGACTGGACTGTTTTTGCGATGTTGTACATTTGCGACCAGGCATATTTTTACACTTTTGTGGTGTTTGTGTTTGGCTGTAATTTTCCGCTCTCTCATTTACTGTTCCCGTACAAATTATATATTGTTTTTTTCAGGACAAAGGGGCTTTCTTTACATACCATTATTTATATAATCTCATGTATTTTAATTTAAAAAAAATAAAAAATATGATGAAAAATTGAAAAAAATACATGTTTTTTGACTTTTACTTGAAAAATCTTTTACTCATCTACAAAAGCGAATGAAAAAAACTGCTAAATAGATTAAAAATGTTGTCCTGAGTTTAAAAATACCCAGTGTTTACGTGCTTTTTTGCTTTTTTTTGCATGCTATAGGGCAGTGATGGCGAACCTTTTTGAGCCCGAGTGCCTAAACCGTAATACATGCCAATTTTTTTTCCCCTCAAAGTGCCAAAACGGCAATTAAACCTGAATATTGAGGTTTAAGTTTAGAAAAAACAACTCATACAGTTGTCCGAACTAATTAACATCTCTGTGTGTGTATTAAGCAGTTTGTGTGTGTGCTCGACAGTCTGTCTGTATGTGTATTTAGCAGACTGCTGAATACACACAGACTGCTGAGTACACAGTCTGCTAAATACACACACACACACAGACTGCTAAATACACACACACACACACAGACTGCTGAGTACACACACACACAGACTGCTGAGTGTACACACACACAGACTGCTGAGTGTACACACACACAGACTGCTAAATACACACACTGCATTGAGGGGTACAGTGTATGTGTTTGTGTGTGCGGTGATGTGTTTGTGTGTGCGGTGATGTGTTTGTGTGTGGGGTGATGTGTTTGTGTGTGGGGTGATGTGTTTGTGTGGTGTGATGTGTGTGTGTTTGTGTGGGGTGATATGTGTAGGGCTGGGGTGCTGTGTGTATGTTGTCCCCTCTCTCCCCCCCCCACTGTTTTCTTTCCCCCATCCCTCCCTCATTTCCCCCCCCCATATCTCTCCCTCATTTCCCCCCCCATATCTGTCCCTCAGTTCCCCCCCCATATCTCTCCCTCAGTTTCCCCCCCATATCTCTCCCTCAGCTTCCCCCCCCATATCTCTCCCTCAGTTCCCCC